GCACTGCGGCCCACCCGGAGGCGTCGAAGAGGAGGGCAACTCAAGACCTGGCTCGACAGAGTTCGTCAAGAAGCGGTTATTGGACCTTCGGTTTTCGGTCTCCGTCGCCGGAGAAGGAACTGGATGGAGCTTTCTTGAACGGCTGCCGCTAATCGTCACACCTGGAGGTACCGTTCATGACATCATTGAGGCCGACTAGGTCAGGCATGATCACAGCCGCATCCAGTACAAGTATTCTGAATACTCTCAGTCGAAATATACAGAACTTTGCACATGGTTCAATGTAGGTAGAACGATGTTTAGCACTGGCTGTTTTCAATATTCCCTTAATTTCTGTTGACCAAAAGTGCATATACTATTTTGGTAACCCTTTACAGTACTTTTATTTATCCAAAAACCTTCTGTTTTTTATGCCATTCCGAAACTTGCGTTTATATCTTTTTGTTTAAGTTCGTGTACGCACAATACTGCAACTGGCGTGACTTAAGGCGCCAATAAATGATATTCGATGCCCTACCCCGTGTTCCTCCATCGCTCTTATTCCTGCTACACCTTCCCTACCTATTCTCACCCCACATACGGTGGGGGGTGCTGTGCTAGCCCTTTGCCATACTTTCATTTATCCATAACTTCGGCATAATTATATTTCTAAACGACTTTATATGCTAATTATATTTGTTACGCCGTTCCTGAACTTGCATTTATCTCTATTTGTTTAAGTTCGTGTATTAACCGTTGCGCTAAATAATTCATTTGGTGTGAGTTACTGTATCAATAATCGAGATTTGACCCACTGCTCTTGTGCTACACTCTGGTCGGCGTACACAACTGATTACTTTATAGCGTGGGCATCTTGCTCGGCTTATCTTGTTGACTCGTTCTTGGCGTGGGATCGCAGTATCGATCTTTCATACTCGCTAAACTCTCCTTAATACGCAGCCCACTAAAACCAAAATTATTCCCATCGCAACGTTGTGTAAAAGTAACGAGTAAGCTTAACCTAAAACTTGAGCGGAAAATATTTAAAATGTGAAAAAATGGCGCTCGACACCACTTAACAAGTCGACCAAGTGCATTCGAGAAACTGACTGTCTCGTACTGATGTTTTATCGATTTTTTTTTCGTTCAAATAGCCGCACAGTCGGACATCAGTAATCTAAGCATGCGGGTTCTGGTCGTTCTCACCTTGGCTCTGCTGCCCTTATCTCTATTAAAATCAACTTCCTGTAACAGCTACGAATCCAGCTCAAATGCCCATGAGCAGCCAAATGATGGCACTGCTGACGGACTTACAGAAGAGGTGATAAAAAAAAAGCGTGAAGAATTGTTGACTCATTTGCTTGAAGGTATAGAGGAGGGGGCTAGGACAAAAACTGAATTCTCGGACCCTCTGGAAGCCGTAAACTACGCGAAGGAACAGGAACTTCGAAGGGAGAAAGAGAGTCTTCGTTCGGGAAACAGACGAGTTCGACGCTCTGTTCCGAAATTTAAGCCGCCAAGTCCCTACGCGATAATAAACGACTCCGAAGACGGGAAGAAGCCGGACAATTTCTTGTTGGAGACGTTACCACAGAATCTCCTGGAGGTCAAACAAGGCACTTACATTCACTTTAGAATCTGTCCCAAGCCAGTCGTCCCGGAAGAGGTATGAGGTTAAAGAAATATTTTTTGTTAGTCGAACTTTTCACGAAAGAGCGCTTAAACATAATTTCGCATAACAGAAATGTAACTCTAAGAACTATCAACGTCAATTAAATAAAGCAAATCTAGATATGAACAAACAGAAGCGATACATAGGGATGCAAGATTATTATACTTTAGGTTCTATTGATATATTGTTTGCGGTTATCTAACACGGGTACTAAAATGCTGGACGGCTTTAGTTTTAAAATTCCTAAATGTGTCCTGTTAGGTTGAGCTGTGGGTTGGTTCATACAAAAATAACACAACGTTTTTTTGCAGATAATTACAGTAACCGTAGTTCTTTCAGAAATGCGTAGAGGGTGGCCTTTAACTGAATTAAACCCTTTTTTTCAAGGAAGATAATTCCGCTAGTGGAGAGAACAGGTTCCAGTCTAACTGTGGAAGGTCATACGTGTACATAAGATGTCAAATCTGATTTTAACCGTTTTTTTTTATGCAGCCCCATAGGCCGCTTTTTGACCCATCTCTGTTTATTTCGATTTGTTCAGCATTTGGCTGAATAATTACCTCAGCCGGCGAGCACGCGCTCACCATAATTTGGGTGCCATATTTTGATCATTTCTTGACATCTAACCACCTTACGCATCCCCTCCGGTCATCATGTGGCTGTTTCGTCACAGTCGGTGATTCGTATCAAGCACGGTTCCCTACTGTTCCTCACATATAAGGAATTCAGAAGAGTATTTGGCGAGTATACGTATGCTTTCGATAAATTTTCGTCTGGCCAATACAGTCACTTAGCGGCATGCACTCATTCGCGTTCTGTTTGCCTCCCGCACCTCCCTCCCTCTCTGCCTCCCTGCCTCTCTCCCCCTTCCCATCCCCTAAAAGGGGTCCACTAAGCCCTGCCCTCGTAACCATCCCTCTCTTATCGACCGCTTTCCCAGATTCCCACGGCTCATTTGTACGAAAAGAAGAACATTATGGATCGCTTGTCTAACTGATATCCCTGCAATATATTGGCCTGAAGAGAATTTATCGAAAGTATACGTACACTCGCTAAACACTCTTCTGAATTATCTGATGGGAATATTTGTAACCAGGGGATGTTTGAATTCATCCATAGAGCTTACTAGACCTGGTCATTTAAAAGTTGTGCGCCAAAAAAATTAAACACTTAACAGGCTTTACTATTTTCAACCCCGCAACTGGCTGGAGGAGATCGAATACGGCAGTGACATGGTCTTTCGTCGAAGCAGTCGGGTGAAAACTAAACAGTACTCACAATGAGACTGTATTTGAGCGTTCAGAAGTTGAAGTTTCGTTCACGTGAAGGGCCAGCATCAAAATCTCGGTCAGAGCAAGGCTGTGCATTGCTGATGAGATCTGATTGGAGCGAAACGCATGTCTAGTGCTTCCACTCGAGGCGGAACTTTCACAGACGAATCTCTTTAGGGTGTACAAGCGTCGCCGAGGGTGAGTGATGTGTGTTAGAGAATGACTTAAACGAAGTAATCTGTGCGGTGCATCCCCTTTGTCCGACGCCAGCCTGTTCAGTTTCCTTTTATCATCCCGATAATCATTAGAGAATCACTGCGAATTGGAAAGTTTGTTGAAAGAGGTCAGAAGGATTACCATGAACGATTTTTAAATGGAACCTCGTCAAAGACTTTTGGGCAGTCACTGAGGCCTATAGAAAAGAGGATTAGTATTACCTTTGTTGACAAAACAATCTACGGAGTGACAAAATAGGCTTAAAAAGGTCCTAACCAGGAAAAAAGAGTTCTGAGGGTTGCCAACTGATAACTTAGACCGTGCGGTCAGCTCAGTGTGTGTTTTGTTGTGTGGAGTGCCTGACTTGCGGACTGAGAGTCTGGCTGCGCCGATACTCCCACGTGGCTGAGATCCTAGCCATGGTGAGGTGCATGGGAGGGATGGCCTCGCACCCGATCCCGTTTCTGGTCTGCTTGCCGGACACCGGACACCGGACGCAAATGGGTGAGGGAAGACAGAGTGAGGTAGATGCTGTGCAAGGCTTTAGGCACTTAAACTATCTCGTGCGCCAGTCACTGCGTTGGCTTTCAGCCTGCTGGAGCGGGCGGTGGACAAAACTGAACTCGATGATAGAAATAAAAATTGTTGGGTTAAAGTAAGACGGTTAGGATTGCAGTATCCTTCTGAAGTTTAGCTCAAGGGGGTCCACATTTTTGCGTTATAGGGGGGGACGGGATCCACATTTCCGTGCTTCACCCCAAAATCAAGCAAAATCCAAGCAAATGTTTACCAACTCCAAGTCAGGAAAAATGGCTGCGTTCCTTTCCGTGAAGACCGGCAAGACCGTCGGAAATCACCAGCCGTAGGACGTCCAACGGGGCAACAAAATATCACGAATTGCCCCTGTCAGTTAAACAGACGGCTGAAGCTTGAACCATGAGTACAAATTACAGAAGTCGCCGGCTATTAAGCCCACGGTTAATAAGCCCAGCCGCTTATTAAGCCCAATTTGGTCTGGGCCCATAGGGCTTAATAACTGGCCACTACTGTATCATTTAAATTGGGTGTTCTTACAGCTGAGCCACAGGCTGACGCAAAATAAGAGTTCCATTCTGCACCATTTTTGCTCTTCGACTGCCTGCGTGGACGGTTCAAGACCCATCTACGTGTGTTCTTAACGCGAGGCCTTTAGCATTCCAATTCGCACACGACAGTCCATAGGGGGATAAATGGAGTCGTAAACTTAATAACCAACTGAGCGCAGGATTCACATTTCTAGTCCGCTGGACCAGCGGCCCGAAATGGTGAGCTGCGGAGAGCGAATAGACCGGAAACGGCCCCGGCACGTGCTCCGCGCTGGGAATAATGGGCAGAAGAGAGACCCATCTTAAGTATGCGTTCCAGTCCGGCCTTTGCGGTTGTTAGGCTTGCATGTAAATTAGATTATACAACTGAGAGTATCTAGCGTCCGGGCGGAGGCGAGGCAGGTGGTTGAACACAAAGTTATCACCCTGAGGCACAACACTGTCTGGGTGAATAGGAGATGCACGGCAGGACTCCGTAAATGCTTTGTGATCACGGTTCTGTCTGTCTGGTAGTGACGGATTCGGAAAACGGAACGCTCGATTGCAATTCCGACTCAGAGTTTTATTCTGAAAGGGAGCATAAGAGCCTCATCTAACAGGGTAGTCAGATCAATTCTAACTGATTCAAGGAGTCTCCAGCCTATGTCGAGACATAATAGAAATGATGCTGACAATAAGGGACTGTTTATTGATGAACGGGAAAACGGCTGAACTAACAGTATGATAGACTGACAAAACGTTATAACTAAAATAGTACCAAGGTAATCGTTGGAAAAATCAAACTGACATCTGATCTTCGAAAATAGGCAGACTGAAAAAAGGGGAAGGATACAAAAGCTGTAGCCGGAGAGCGGTACAATAGGAGGTAACCAAAAAACGATACGAAAGTCGACAATTGGAAAAACGGTACAAAAATAATGGGAAACGTTATGAACAGGACGAAAAGGAGACGAAACGAGGCTTGTCGAAAGCTGAGGTACGACCGAATTGATGCCACGCAACGTTCTGAAAAATCAAAACAAACGGAGGTG